TATTTACTGTGTATTATTTAAGATTATTCCATGGATGTTGTTTCTTCCAAGCGTGTTAATCCATTTTTGTTTTTTTGAAATTTAATGTGTTCTAAATATACTAAGTGACATATAAATCCGAACACCCAGTTTAAATGGTTTTATTTTAATAAAAGTTGGTGAATGTATTTATCTTACTGTAAATAACAAGTTACAAAAATTTTCAGCCTTATCAGTTGGACATTCCGGTTTATATACTGCTTTTTTTTAATTCACTAACGCTCTAAAAATGAATATTTCAGCCGCAGTAAAGAATCAACGTTGGCGGATTTTGGTTCTTGACATCCTTTACGATCGGTTACGATGCCTAGAGTACGGAGACCTGTACGATTTCGTCAACTTAGTGAGTTTGATAGGGGCCGTATAGTGGGACTTCGGGAAGCTGGACTTTCTTTTCGGGCAATTGCAGTTAGAGTGCAAAGAAGTGTAGACACTGTGGTTAGGTGTTGTCAGGCAATAGCTTCGAGAAGGCCGTACGCAAAGAGCAAGGGGCACTGGACGCCGCCGTAGAACAACAGACCGTGAAGATCGCCGCCTAAGATTATTGGCCTTAAGGGACCGTTTCTCCACTACCAGGTCCATTGCAAATGAATGGTTTGCAGAACACGGAAGACCTATTGGCATGCGAAGTGTTTACCGACGAATGAGAAGTTTTGGCTTGTTTCCATACCGGCCACACTGGGTCCTCCCTTTAACTCAAGAACACCGACGTAATCGCCTTGAGTGGTGCAGACAACGGTCACTCTGGGATCAGGAATGGAACAGTATTGTCTTTAGTGACGAGTCTCGATTTTGTTTAGGCATGCACGATGGTTGTGCCAGGGTGAGAAGGCGACGTGGTGAAAGGAGGAATCCACAGTTTTTTGTTGAAAGACATGTTCATCACACTGTTGGAGTTATGGTTTGGGGTGCTATAGCTTATGGTTCCAGGTCACCTTTAATCTTCATCAGAGGTAACATGAACGCGCAGCGTTATATCCACGAAGTTCTAGAACCCCATCTTTTACCCTATCTTGACACCCTGGCAGATCCAACTTTCCAACAAGATAATGCCCGACCACATGTTGCAAGAGTCACAATAGACTTCTTTCAACATAATGATGTCACATTGTTACCATAGCCACCAAGATCTCCCGACTTATCCCTAATTGAGCACGTGTGGGATATGATGGGTAGGAGATTGGTCAATTTGCAACGTCCTCCTCAGACTCAAGAAGCACTTCGAGAGGAGTTGGTGGTTGCCTGGAATGAGATACCACAGGAGGACATTGACCACCTGATCAGAAGCATGCCTAGGCGCGTTGGAGAATGCGTAGCACATCAGAGTGCATCCACACATTATTAAAGGTCAAAGTGCTTTAAAGCAGTGCAATCATTTTGAAATTTTTATCATTTACTTATTATGCTTCATTAAGTACTTATACAAAATTTTATTAAAATAAAACCATTTAAACTGGGTGTTCGGATTTATATGTCACTTAGTATATATCTAAAAGCGAGATATCAAGATAACAGTTGTTTTGTTAAGTGTGGATTTCATTCCCCACCAGTCTAACTGCCTATAACTCCGTACTATGCTCAGTCATAAAAGACAAGTTTCACGTGAGGAATCACACGGCACGTCTGTTGGGACTATATTCCAGTTCGCATTGTCTGCCACTTCTGGTAATAGATTGCACTTTCTGCCGACTTATTTCGATAGACCTGAATTCTGGATAGAGGATAGTTGCTCAATTTTCGTTCGTTGCTCTACCTAAGACCAAGATGAAGTGTTGCCAAATAGCACGAAGCAGTTGTCCACGTTCCACGGTTGGCCGTTTGTGGTCGGAGGAACGAAAGCGATATTATTAGTTTGAATCACATGGTGATCTGACGAGAAACTTTCAAGGTGACGATGAATCACCTTTTCAGTGAGCTTAGAAGCATCTGGCCTCAAGCTAATGGGACAATAATCTTGGGGAAATGTCGAACTTACCTTCTTTGGGATCATCATAACTTCAGCGATTTTCCTCGCATTTGAGAAGTATTGAGCTATGCACATTACATTGATTATAATTGATGATTATTGCCACCAGGTATGTCAAAGCTTTTAGCAAAATCGTATTCAGTGCCTTGTTGATAATTTGATCATCTCCAGTTGCTTAATGTAGATAAAGCGTCTGAAAACTAGATTATCACTGTCGTGAGCATTGCCATTGGCTCTGATACCTTCTGACAGGTGTTACCATTTGTCGTTCTCCTCAAAGACATTATACAGATAATAATTGGGAGAGAACTACCTTTCCATGCGGTCAGCAAAAGCCTCCACCTTATCCTCAGTCACGAAAACTATGTCTCCAGGACTATGGATATATGGCAGTTCTTGCCTCGAGAGGAACATTTAAATTAAGCATTTCCATCAGAAAGTCGCTCCACATCTATTGCGGAATTCATGAAGTGCATTTCTCACTTTGCGGACAAGATTTGACTCTCTACAAATCTCATCAGGATAACATTGCCATTCTCCTATTAGTTCCTACCAAGATATCAGTGTATACAGGGTGTTTCAGTTTATTTTTGCATAACTTTAAGTTTCGATAGAACTTTTAAAATTAATGCATAAAGTCTATATAAACATGGGTCGAAAAATGCGTTTCTTCCGAAATACAGGGTGTTTAAATTTACTTTCTAAAATAGTTTTTTTTTAAATATTTCGAACAATATTTGATGTATAACAGTGAAAATTGGTATACAAGGGTTTTTTGGTGCGACAAAACGAACCATGGGCATAGTTTTCCTATAGCCGCTAGAGGGCGCTCTCTACTGTACCTGTAGTGTATTAAAATGACCGAAAAAATTTTCTTAGTGCAATTTTTTGCTTTTTGAATAAAAAAACTGATTCTTCGCACTTTTCAACATAAAAAAGCTCTCTTGTAAATTTTCGTTATAGTTAGCCGTTTTTGAGATATTTCGATTTTTAAGATTCGATGCATTTTTAATTATTTATGATAAAATAACGTTAAAAAGTCAGTATCTCGATAATTTTTAGAAGTAGGCTGTGCCTGCAAATATTTTTGAAATTGAAAGCAGAATAAGGTTAAACGTCAATTAGTTGACAGTTAGTTTTGTTGTCTGTTGAAACCTGAAACGTTTTTTTGCAATTGTGAGTGCACGAAATTTAGTTTCTTTTACCTGTATTTTTTGTAAGTTTTATAAAAATGCCATTGTTATTCTCCAATCAAGAGTTAGCTGATATTCATATTGTGTATGGCACGAAGATTTCCAAACAGACGACATCCAACTCGCTCAGTATTTGTAAGAGTGCATCGCCAAATAATTGAAAATGGTTTTGGAAATCTCCAAAGGGATCAAAACATTAATGTTCGTCAGCGCAGATTTACCCGTATGATTCTGCGTGAGTTTGATAGAGATCCGACCACAAGTGTTAGGAGAGTCTCTGGTGCCTTAGGAATTTCAGCAAGCCATGTTCACCGTGTTCTTATAAATGACCATCGACGTCCTTACCATTTGCAACCTGTGCAAGGACTACAGCCAGGGGACGGAGAACGAAGAATCACATTTTGTCAGTGGATTCTTGATAGAACTGATAATAATAGGGAGTTTTTGAGTAACGTTTTATGGACCGATGAGTCATGATTCACTAGACGTGGAGTGGTAAATTTTCATAATCAACATATTTGGTCGCATGAAAATCCGCATGCAGTTCGGGAAAGAAATTTTCAGCATGAATTTAGTGTGAACGTGTGGATTGGTATCTACCGTAATCGACTATTTGGACCCTACCTTTTGCCTGCAAGGTTAAATGCTGCGACCTTCTTGGAATTTTTAAAGGCTGAACATCCAAATATGTGGGATGATGTTATGTTAGATTTAAGAAGATTGGCCTGGTTCCAGCTTTATGGTTGTCCAGCTCATTATTCGAGAATAGTTAGAAACTGGCTGGACGAAAATTATCCAGAAAGATGGATCGGCCGTGGAGGACCAGTCGCCTGGCCTCCACGATCCCCTGACCTAAATCCATTAGATTTCTTTGTGTGGGGATTTCTAAAAGAAAAAGTGTACCAGACTCCCGTAACCACAAGAGATATGCTAATAGACAGAATCATGAATGCATGTGATGAAATAAGGCCATATTTGAATAATGCTATACCACGTTCGATCATTCGTAGATGTGAATTGTGTATTGAACAATTGGGTTTACATTTTGAGCAACTACTTTAGATTTTGTATGTATGTCCTAACTATCCAATAGCATTTTAGTTGTAAATAATTAATTTAATTTGTTAAAAATAATATTGGAAAATTAAACAAATTAATATTCTGTTTTTTGTGTTTATTTGGAGTTAGGAATTATTGCTGTGTTTAAAAACACAATCTAAACGATCATCTTAATTACTTGTAATGCCCAAATCGAAAATGTAAAAAAAAATATTATTTTCCCATAAATAATTAAAAATGCATCGATCCTTAAAAATCGAAATATCTCAAAAACGGCTAACTATAACGAAAACTCACAGGAGATGCAGAAAAGTGCGAAGAATCAGTTTTTTAATCAAAAAGCAAAAAATTGCACTAAGAAAAAATTTTCGGTCATTTTAGTACACTACAGGTAGAGTAGAGAGCGCCCTCTAGCGGCTATAGGAAAACTATGCCCATGGTTCGTTTTGTCGCACCAAAAAACCCTTGTATACCAACTTTCACTGTTATACATCAAATATTGTTCGAAATATTTTAAAAAAACTATTTTAGAAAGTAAATTTAAACACCCTGTATTTTGGAAGCCACCCATTTTTCGACCCATGTTTATATAGACTTTATGCATTAATTTTAAAAGTTCTATCGAATCTTAAAGTTATACAACAATAAACTGAAACACCCTGTATAGTAGAATAAGGTATGATATTCATGCTTCCCACAATTTTGTGATAAAAAACCTCTAATTTTAGGAAATAGAAAATCAGTCAATAACGAGAAACATACAATATATTACAATTTAGAACCACGTACAAAATACATAAAACACAAAGATTAACGAGTTTTGCTGATTGATACCAAAAGTCAACCTAGCAAGTTTTCCGAACAAATTAACAGGTCGAGAAATCATATTTGATTCTTACTGGAACGTTATCTAAAACGTCTGTCTATGCTAAGATTGCTTAGTATAGTGTGAATAACATTTATCTGTTGAGATTTGGTTAAAATCATTGCGTAAAAGTAAATTTAAATATAGTTTAGCGTACGAATAAATGCAAATTCAGATTTTATTCCATATCACAAAATCAGAACAAAAAACTCTTATGCAGTTTTCGGTGCAAAAGTTTTATACATTTTACTTTTGCGAAAAATTCAATTATAATAGTAACTCTAATAATGTTTGGTAACTTTCAATTCAAATGAAACACATAAAAGTATTAGTCTGCACTTTCGGGATGGATTTGTTTCTACTGAATACATTCATATTCAAACTAGTCTGGAGAACAAGAATGTGATGATTGTTCCTGTAAATGCCATGGCGCCTACAGAAATCTTGGATGCTGAATTACATAACTCTGTTTGGCAGATATCGCATTTAACTGTCTGCCCGTCACTTTCAGGACACTTCTGGACTATTTCGTTTCCAATTTTTTGAGCCTGGAGGCACTTCCTCGAAACCATTTCATGTTGGCTAACTCGGTCTAAAAATAAAAAGAGATATATTAATGGTGAAATATAAAAATATAAATAATTTATCGGGACTGGGTCTTCAGAGTGACTCTGTAATGTCCACGCAACGGTGTCATCAGTTCGTAAAGGATGTTTGTCACAAGTTAGCCCGTCTGAGAAAAAGTTATAAACATGAGTGAGAAAAAACCAACTCTCCACCTCCCCCTGAAAGAAACTCCTACTGGCGCACATGATTTTTGTCATAACTAATTCGGCGTGGATGACGATAGTGACTTTTACAGCATTCAGCCCACAACAGCACGGAAGCGACGCATGGCGCACGACCATCAGCCGAACCAGTGCGCACGTATCGACACGCGACTGGAGATATAAGTTTTAAGGATAAATGTACGGGAACATATATGATGAGCGAAATATGTCAAGTTTTTTTCCGAAAATGATTAGGTGCGTCTGATACGTCAAAAACCAAAGTTTGAGAAAATAATATTTTTCTGTTTTTGCGCTTTTTCACCACCGGCGCTAAGCCGATTTTCAAAAACTATAAAGCGTTTTCGTCCGTCACATAGCAGTAGCAGCAGTCCGAGAGATGGCAACATTGTCACATAAAGACGGTGGTTGATAGGTAAGTAAGCATAAGCGGTTGGCACCCGTAATAATATTTTCAATTATTCGAAATAACTAAATTATTCGGTTTAATTAAACTGAATTTTCTGGGACCAGTTTAATTGAAATTATATCATTAAACTAATTTGCTTGAAAGCAGCAAACCATGTATCTGTTTAAGTAAACTGTTTAATCCGATTAGGTAATTTAGTTTATGTAGAACAGGTGTTTTCTAATAATTAAGCATTTTTATAAAAAACAGTTAACTGTGTAAATGCGGAGTGCCGGTGACGCGCTTCTAACTCTTCAACTTTTTTTTTGTTTTTCGTGACGAGCCTCATATTCGACGGATGAGGTTGATGGCGTATAGTGGATCAATTATGGTGATCAAGATGATACATAACCATTAGAATATTTCTTGCTCCCAATAAAGCAATCTGTCTGTGTCTACTTCTAACTAGGCAAATACTACTGATAACACTAATTAAACAAATTCAATAAACATAATTGAACTGATTTACTTAGAGCAGGAAAAGTCATGTTAGTCGTTCATTAATTTTAAATAAATTGGTGTACTTTGAATAAACAGTTTAATCAATATAAGTAAACGGTTACGTTTTCATTCAATTAATTTAGTTTCATAAATTCAAGTTAACTATTTCAGAAATTGGAGTTAATTTGAACTAATTAAACTTGTTATCTGTCACATATAGCTAGTGTAGTTAACCTGAAGACAACTTAAGGTTACGAATCAATTCAGACGACGGTCGTGTAGCTTAAAACTTTATAGACACTGGACATCTTCATATTATTGAGAGTATTTTACTCTGTTCTAGGTTTTCTTTGGATTTAGCAATGCCGCCAGGTTGCATGGATTATTTATCCATTCTGACGTAACTTCACATACCTCTAAAGGTATGCTTCATGCAGGCATGCACATGTCCAGTGTAAGGTTGGACTCCTCCAGCTCCACAGTCAGTCTTCACCCAGTTGCTGGACGAATCACACTGGGTTCCTCTGCAGGTGTAGCATTTCAAAGCAGATGCTGAAAAATGAAAAATACCATGCTAATCCATTTAAATTGATTTGATAAATGAAGTTGAGCGTGTGCCTTGTTCAAAAACTGCATACTGTTTACAGTAAAACTACAGGAATACATCCATCTCTCTCACACATACATATGCAATCGGCTTCTATGTGCGGACGTTGGTTTGTATAAGTTCACAGACTTATGCTGCTTTGTAAGCTTGTCTCACCGCATTCAAATTTTTTTCGTCAACGAATGAGTCTTCCATATTTATGCATGTCAGTGACTGTGTGACAACTTGCTTATACCTTTTGTTGATCTTTGATAAAAGACGCTTGCATATGCGTGTTTTCGGAAATTGAGTCAAAATATCGGTCCCTAAACACACAACTCGTTTGTGTGCAAGAGTGGGGAAGCTAAATTATGCTCACAGTACAGTTACTCAATCTGTTTACTTATTTTGTATAGCATGGTGAGGTAACCGCCAAAAACATAGAAAAGAACTATAGTTGTAGTCACCATTCTTGGCGGTTACGTCATCAGCGCCATATGAAATAAGTAAACAGATCGAGTCTCCGTACCATGGGCGGAACACTGCGCAAACTAATCTACAGCCCATCTGCTACTCTCTCCAGTACGCACGAAGTGGGTAACAGGGGACCGCTGTTTTCATTCTCTTCCTGGAAATACTCTAATAAATTTAGCACGATCTGCCTCCATTGATCGTATTTCCGGGCATTGTACAATTTTATATTGAAGATTGATAACAGGACATTTCGAATTGCTGCATGCCGATGTCAAGTAAGTTCTCACTCTGATAAATATGATTGAAGGGCACTCATACGCAACGACAAAGTTTTCGAGTCGGAGACATACAACTAAAAAACGTATGTCTTCGAGCTTACCGAACAAACGTTCACACACAGGGGTAGGTTGCATGTGTATGTATGCGATAGATGGAGATATATAAAGGGATACTGGTAGTCTTACTTTGACCCGCCAAGAACGGTGACTACAACTATACTACCTAGGTCACGAAATAAGTTTTGTCCTATGAAGAAAGTATTAATCATTTAATTCCCATCGTGTTGAATACACTGGACCATATTTAGGAATCAGTCATCAGCCCAGCGCTTGCTGCTTGCTGCGTCTAAATAGATTCAGACAACGTCGCCCTGCTCGTTTGCTGATTCAAACCTGCGTCCCTTCCGCTATGACTGATGAAACGGAGAAAAGTCAACATCTCAAGGCTCCGAGTCGGGGCCATAAAGTGGATGAGCCAATACTTGGAGTCTAGATTCTTCAAAAAACTGTTGAGTTTTCCGAACGCTATGCGCCAATGCGTTGACAATATGAAAATAACACGGACGAAGCGGTGACCTATGCCTTAAATTTTTCAGCGCAGTGTTGGCAAACAATCTTCTATGTACCATTTAGCTATGACTGTCTTCGGTTTATAAAGTAGAATGTTTGCAACCAAAACCTGATTTTCTGAAAAAAGGACAATTGTTTTTCCAATCAATCGCAACTTTTAGACTTGAATCGGCTAATGTTCAATTTCAAAACCACCCATACCGAACTGCTTTGGTTGGAACATCAAAAATATATCTTTCTTCGAGATCATTGTAAATAGTTGTAATATTAGCTCCAGATTCAAATCTGTTCAGCATCTTTTGCACCAAGTTGCTCTTGGTATGCTCTGCTCAACTTAAATGGTCGTATATAATTCACCGAATACTTCTTTCAAAAATATTCAGGGTTCCTGCTGTTAATATATGAATCGCCTGTCTTTCGATATAGGTCCTCTCGCACGTTCTACCGATTTTCGGCGATGAGCTCATGTGCCCAAACTGAATCTGGATCGTTTTCTAAATTAAGTAAGCTACGCTTGTTTTTTCATTCCGTCGCCACATTGTTCATGGATCACGCCAAAAGTTATGACAAATAATGGCACGATAACAAACAGTAGGAATCGAAAACTATTGATTTATTTGCATTGTCAGCTAAATATGTGTACCTTGTATTTGGATTAACTTTATAAAAACGTGAACATAACCTAGCAGCAGGTACGTAGGTATAACGGAATTCGCACAAAGTTGTATCGCCAGTAGGCTTTGAATATAGATTTTAATGGATAATTTTACAAAAATCAGACAACGTGTCTCCAGAGATGTTTTTCGCAAAGCATAATGCGATGATCCAATGATCCTAAAATAGCTGGCACGAATGACGGTACCTAGTATTATCAACATGCTTTAAAAACAAACACGTGATACTGGATAAAAAACACTGGAAAACATGTCCTTCATAGCCAGTTATCTATTGACACTTTCAGAAAACCTGTCGGACTTTAACTAGGCAATCTTGAATTACAATGAAAGTTGCACTTTGGCATAAGTATTCATATGATGCACTCACGGGATTTCCCATAACAAATATGGATGTCAATCTTGGACGGTGCCAACTGTGTAGGTCGTAAACACAGTTTTATGCATTCTACAAGTACATTGATTCAGGGCAAGGTGTTTCTGCTGTATTTATTTCCTGTTAAGCATTAAGGTTCATAGTTTTTTCGTATCTTTTGTCGTTTTCCTTCCAAAACAACCATGAGATTCCTGACAAAAAGGTAAAAAAGTATTTCATTCGCTGTCAGCTACAGCTCAAAGACCTTCATTGAGCGAAATAAATTAATCAGGTGACATGGTTTTACATACTATCACGAATTGCAATGAAAAGGTGAGTCAAAGTATCAAGTAGGCGAATAACAATGATTCATAGTTCCTACTGAAGTTGTTACGGTATGATTCACAATTTTTTGCAAAAGTAAGGAGCGTTCTAAACTCACTTTACAAACATAAACTTTAGAAGAATTTGATTGATTGAACAAATATGCAGAAGCAAATACCAAAATTACTCAAGATTTCAGTGTCATAATTTTATCAATCATATTCCTCATGAGATACGGATATCAATAACATGTTTTTGTCTTTATAATTGGCAGTCACATATTTAGGTATTTATTTGCCATTATAAAGAGAACTGGAATAGGGCGGCGCGATTCAGTTTATTCAAAAGTAATTATTGCTTTAGACGCTAATAAAAAGCTTTTAGTACATGAAAGCTCTGGGCAAAGGCTTTCTAAGTAATGTCGAAAAGGCCACTTATGAATACATTGTTATTTTTGGGAACTTAACGTTTATGCTCTTACAAATGACGACAAATAGCTCACAAATCCAAAGTTGATGCTTATAAAAATCGCATATGGCAAAAAGAACAAGTATTATAATTCAAACGGAAATACGATTTTTATCTTATGAGGCGCTCACAGTAAAAGCTAAATATAATTTTGATGCAACATTTCGAAAAACACAAGCCAATCGCCACATCTGTTTCTCAATTATATAGTATTTCTATTTTTATGTATATCCCAAAGCATACCCGCTCAAAAAGCAATAAAAAATGTTGCTTTAAGAAACAACCTATCAATAGTATGTAAACAGTCAAAACACTTACCCACGGTAATGATTGCAACTAGAGCGAAAAGCACCGAAAGTTTACCCATTTTTTATATTGCAAGAATCTCTAATGTGCCGCGATAATTTGACTAAACTTTTCAAGTTTAAATTTGCAAGTCGACTGAAAAATGCGTCAGTGGTCAGAATAGTGGGGGCAGTGGGAGAAGGCCATGCGCAGTGGCGTGCGCTGCAGTCCCGCTTGCCCCTTTGGGGTCTCTAGCCCCCGCCATGAAAGTAATCGCTTAGGAGAAAGATTATTATTGGACTTCCTTGTAGCAATAGTGCTTTTCTATGTACCTATGTTATATTATTTTGTTTGGTTTGATCATTTTATAGGTACTCAAGTTGGGGCTTGCCTGGAAAGATTATTATTGGACTTTCTTGTAGCAATAGTGCTTTTCTATGTACCTATGTTATATTATTTTGTCTGGTTTGATCATTTTATAGGTACTCAAGTTGGGGCTTGCCTGGAAAAAATTTATTGTGGTCTTAACTATTGGTATCTGATAGGGTCTTTCTGATTTCTTATTTTGCTATCTAGTGTCGTCTCGACACAAAAAGGGCATATTGAAGAGAGACAGACTCAAATGGACAAGTGGAACTGAAATTTAATTTCAAAGATTTTTGTTGTTCTTTTCTAACTAAAGGGAGGAAGAAAGTATTGTTATCGCTATCCAATCATAGGATATCATGCGAGTTCAAAAAATCTATATTGGTCTTGAAGATAAGTCCAGTGGTGGCGAAGCTACCGGCGAAATTCAAAATAACAGTTTAGGTTATTTTCATAAAATGTTTTGGAGGAGTTGAATTGTGGGGATGGGGATTTATTTGAAATTTAAAACATTTGTTTGCTTTCAGTGAAAGACGTTCTATTTTTAAAAAGCTTATGATAAGGCAAATAACAACAAAATGCCAGCTTGCTAACGAATAAGCTGCTAGTGTACGAATAGTTCATTCCGCTGTTCCTCGCTATGAGCATTGCGAGCATCACCCATAGCGTCATCTATGGAGGAATTTTTTTTTTGTGAGGGGGGAATGCGTTTATGCACCATACCATAGCCCGAGCTACGGTGTGTGTGGGACTCCAGCTTGTCTTGAGGAGTACCACCTAATACCCACTAAACCCTAACCTCCGCGTGGCCCGACTCATCAGCGTCTCGGTAGGCCATGTGTTGTGCCTGACCTGCGGTCTGCTACAACGTCTCCTCATGTGTTTCAGTCTCTGGGAACGCCGGGTTGGTTCCCTTTACCTCGCACAGTTCTATCGATGTCGTTAAGCGAGCATCGATATAGGGTTTGCTTTGTTCTCTTGAAACTCTTGTTTTCGAAAAATCAAGAGTTTCAAGTCCCCTACTACTTGTATGTTACCTGGTCCTGATGGGTCCTGGTCCTGGTCCTGGTTGGTCCTGGTCCTGATGGGTCCTGGTCCTGGTGGTTCCTGGTCCTGATGGGATCTGGCCGTGGTCATCCTGGTCCTCGTCCTCTGCTTCCACGCCGTGGGGGGGGGGGAGCAACCGCGGGTTCTCCTAGTCAAGGTTCCAGTTAGCGGGTGCCAACTGGGACTTTGGTCTAGGGTACTTGGCTCTGTGGTTGCGAGGCCTCTCGTGAGGATCGTAGTCCATGAGGAATCGTAGCTGCTCGTTCGGGTGGTCCTGAGCTTTCTGGAAGGTCTTTTCCGATTTTTTCCTCATGTACTCGTGAATGGTGTTCCAATGCAGGTCTCTACGCAAGATTGAGTTTCTTACGTAGGATGCTGCACTGGTGGCGATCCGGAGTAGCTTCATCTCTAGAGCAGCAAGTCGCTTGCGGTAGCTGGGAGCAGCGTACCCCCAGACCGCGGAGGATGGAGGAATGACTCGTCAGCGACATATATGTATGTATATGTATGAATGTATATGTATGTATCTCTGAGAAGATATGAAAGAAATGAAACAGGTTGAGTATCGTATCTGGATGATTGTGTGTATTGGTCTGCATGTGTATGAAGTCAGTGATATATACTATGTGAGAAAAATATTACTGAAGTATATCTCTTAGCTGTGCCAGGCGAGTTATTTATTCTTTGCCCTTTCTGAAGAGAGATTATGTTCAAAGCTGTATCTATGGATTAACTTTAAATATAACATTTCAAAAATAAATATATTCACTTACCTTCAAAGCCACAACACAGAAAAGTTAGGAATGACGATCACACACAAAACATTTTCGCAGCGCCCCACATCTAGGCGCTGATTTTTAGTTTCTACTTGACATCGCAAAATAAATTTTAATAAAATCTGAATGACTGTAGCCTATTTTCTCACCTGTCAGTTGTAATATCCACCAAACAGAGATTTCCTTTTTTTACTCTCGCATTTTGTAAATTCAGCAGATTTGCATAGTATGTATTTTCCAGGACGAATAAGAAAAGATGGATGCGCAACTAATTTTATTTAGCTTTGCATACCTACATTCAAACCAACGGAATTATCACCAAAACAGATTCTCAGCACACAAATCCCCATGAAGCACCTATGAACTGCCGTTTCCTACCAGCTATAGTATACAACTTACAGCTTGATGGCTCAAGCGGCATGACGTTTAGGTAACACAAATAGTGCGCATCAAGTAAACAACACCTAGTTCCAAGTTGACATCTTATAGGAAAATATCACAAAATACCTATATAATGCCAAAAAACGATATAAGGTCACTTTTCAAGATACGTAATATCCCTTCGGTGGGCGGTCCTATTCTTTTTGTTTGAAAGCATGCAGTTAGGAATTTTAGAAGTTATATCAGAAGCCGCAACAAAACTGTAGGAAATATAGAGTCAATCTACTCGACGTCATTTATCAGCTGTTATGGACTTGCTTGCTTTGAGCCTTGGGAAACGGAAGCTTTTCACTAGAAAAGCATGTCGACTTTAATATTCAAGTCAAAATCTTCAATTCCAGATAGCAGTGTCTAGAATATAATGAAACAAAAAATAGTGGAATGTGGGAGAGATGACCATTAATGCAGCACGCTACTGGATGTGTAGTCAGACGAAGTCACAAGAATGGAGATGTTGTTGTCAACAATACACAGGGCTGTACTTGCTGTATGTGGTATTTTCTAGCATATGCAGAATCACAAAGTGCTTCTTGAGCATCCCCAAACATCAAAATTTCGACAACAATACATATGCCAGTAGCAATTACAGCGCTCTGGGTTCGATTACAACTCCTGAATAACTAAGGAGTAGTGATGGATGAGGTTCAACCCTCCCTCCAACGTACTTAAAATTAAGTCCGCTTATCTTACAGTCTGCCTGTTTGGCTTTTTTGTTATCCGAATTTCAAAACTTTAATGCTTAAAGTTAGTTGGAGCTTAGCACTGAAAAAGGTGTGCTGTTTACAGGTGCTGAATAAAGGAAGAGAGGAAAATGATAACTGTTACCTTCCTGTGGTTTTCTCAATGCATTCCACCTAACGTGGAATCTGCGTTTAACCTGGCAAAAGCAGGGTTTCTTATAGGGGCTAAAAATAATACGACTTAAGATCCTTTCCTCAATAGAACGCCAGAATCGGTAGCCAAACAAATGGAGTTTCTAAACGGCCAATAGTTTTACTGTAATATTTGGCTATAAGCATTGCAACATTGCAGCATATAATTTTTCACTTTAGTATTATAAACAGTAACATATTTCTCCTTAGAAAAGATAGGTGTCGGTCGTTTTATTAGTGAAGTGAGTCAGTCCAAACAGTGTCGAATCCGTAAATGCCTAGCTCACTTCAAAGTTCAACAAGAACAGCTGAAGTAGCCTTGATCAGAACACAACCTAAGTAATGACATTATTTAATTATGTATCATAGAGCTAAACTCAAGACATAAATAGAATCAAAACTGAAATAAGCAAAGTTTAACGTCTCACAATTTGATTAATAATAAACGCTGTAAGTGTAAACTGAGTTTCAGTAAAAGAGACATCTAATGCACTGAGTAAACTGAAGTTAGATTATGTGTAAAATGATTACAGCTGTAAATATGGAAATACAACTTCAAACAGACAGAAATATATCCATTTAAACTTTTATTAGTATTTGATTATAAATGTTTTACAAAAAAGTACAAATAAAATGACAATTCTTTTCTTAGATCTTTTATGGAAAAAAAATGTTTTTTACAAACCAAATACTTATTTGCTTTTTTCTGTTTTTTTTAAACAGTTATTCAATAGACAAGCTGAACAAGAGAAATGTTAATGTTAAAAATAAAAGGTCGCAGCCTTCGTCTTCGCGAATATCTGCGGCATATATTAACATAAAAACTGGCATTCGATACATCCCTACTACATACACTTACCCGAATTTGTTATCGGACGGCCAAGTATCCTGCTACCGACATAGGGGATGGTAGTCCTGCTTTTGGCGAAGTACTCATAGGTGGCGCTCTGTCAAACCTTCGTGCACTACAATCTCACTTTTTCATTTAACCTATTTTCGATTGTTTGCATTTTACTGTTCATCTCCATTCTAGACCTATACCGTACTGATGGTTGCTAAAAAGTATGAAACTGTTAGATACTGCTGGTATACAGTGACGAAAAGCAAACATGTCCTAGTCAATGCAAATATGTCTAACTCTGGACAAAACGGCACATCGAGGCTCGAAAAGTAATGTATACAGACATTCTTATGGAGGAACAGTTGGTAACCCAGTATCAAGAGAGTTCTCTGGCGAACATAACAAAATGATTCAAAGTTGCTTAGTAAACTGAAGGACCACACCTGTGACATATTTTATCATTATTTTTTAGTATTGTAAACATATATGTTGATCAATGCTTTGGGTCTTTTATACTGCATGATCACCCTAGAAAGCAAATTATCTGATCAACTGCGTTAACAACGTAATCCACTCCTGACTACACTACTTTTGTAAATGACATCATCGACCAAGATCTAAAATGGACATGAAATGATGTAATTCACTATTTTTAGTATTCATTAAATTATTCAAGGTGTACGTCGTTCTGTTGAAAGATTTTCTCTTCCAATTATCACGGCAGTATTAAAGGATATCCATAATGAATAAGTCTGGCAATGATTTGATACTGGCTATGGAGTCATGTGATCCAATGTGATCTATCGCGTCAGGCATGCGTGTAACAAGGATAAGTGGAACTATGCATGTTTATTGGTTGATAAAGTCGTAATGCTGGTTGCCTGACTAATAAACAAACTGCATTTATTAGCCTGATCACACAAATATGCATATACAATAATATGTAGAGCGAAAATGTGGCAAAAATGCGCGCTAAAAATTA